AATGTGGCAAATTCCCTAACTGCTCTGCTGTAACATGGCCAGTTACAGATTCCATAACCTGGTGTCTCAGTGATTTAGGAAGTGTTTAAATTACACATTCAATTAAATACACAGGAGTTAAAAAGGAAGAGTTCACCTCTGATGCAGCCTGGTTAATCATCACTGAATTGATTTTGTACTGATATTTTGAAATGAGATTTGTTTTCTTATTTTACATCAGGGTGTTAATTTGTTTGATTTGTTAAATAGTTTGTATCTGTTTCTGAAGAATGTAATTAATAATTGAGATAAATGAACCAAATCAATTCTGAGGTACCTCTCCTTGTATTACATTAAAACAACATGTACATCTTTCCTCAGTTTACTCTGGCTAATTAATGTATGATAAATTCACACACTATTTTGAATAAAATCTGAATTTCAGGGAGGTGAGCTGGGGAGGTGCCTGTAGGTAGAATATTCCTTATTCTTTCCAGTTTGGTTCCATCTGTGAAGCAACAGATTTCAGCCAGAGCAAGTGAGATCATGGAAATTAGGCTAATGGGATAAATGGAGTTGATTTCAAATGATTGCACTGCACATTCCAGCCCACTCACAGAAACCCATGAATAAAAATCTAATTTGAAATGACAGGTGAAGCATTTGCTCAGCTTTGAACAAGGCTTGATGAAGGTGGTTAAGGGTGTTGTCAGCCCTTGTAACCTAGTTAGATAGAGTCCAAAATTGGGAGGAAAAAAAAGAAAAAGGAAAAGGAAAAGAAAAAAAAAGAAAAAGAAAAAAGAAAAAGAAAAAGGAAAAAGAAAAAGGAAAAAGAGAGCACAGCAAGCCCCTGACTATTAGGGAGAGGATTTGCTGCCATACAATTTGAAACTAATGGCTTGTTGCTCTATAACAGCAGAACAGATATAGGTTATCTTCAGAGAGCTCTAGAAGCAGGGAAACAAAAAAAAAAATTTCCATCAGAAGTGAATAGGTCTTAAACATTCAATTAGCAGTTGAATTCAAGGGAGCAGGTGTTTTCTAATGAAAACTGCAGCTCACTCTTCAAAAACCTGTGATTATCTTGTAGTGTTATTTCTCAAGTCGAGTTCACTTTCACATTTGCAGTGCCTATCTACATGTTTATCTATGGTTTTTTAAATCCATTGTGTCTTTTCTGATGAGAGATCTCAAAACCAGGAAATCAAAAGAGTGTTCTGGCTCCCCTTGCACAGGGATGAGATGGAGGGAGATACCAGGAGGAAATTTCTCTCTCTTTTTTTTTTTTTTTTTTTTTTTAATTCATCTCGAGCAGTTCCACAGGGATAGAGCTTTTAAGAACTAGGTAGAGGATTTAGCAACACATCACGCTCAGCTAAATCACAAATTAAATCCAAGAGCCCTGTGCAAACACGTGTAAGCCCATGTGAGGTTAGTGTAACCAAAAATAAATATAATCATAAGCAGTGCCTCCTCTCCTGCTCAGCAAAATGCACACGTGCTGTGCAGCCCTGGGACTCCTCAGAACACACATGGAAATGTTCTGCTGCTCCCTGATGCCTGCAGGAAGGCTGGCACCCAGCTCCTGCTCCAGGATAATCCTGGAGGCAGGCAGTGCACAAACACTCCAGTGAGCAGCAGAGCCCAGGGGCTGGAGGAGCTGCAGAGCCAGCAGCACTCACTGGGGTGTGTGTGCTGGGTTTGTGGGGCAGGCTGTGGAATTTGGGATTTTTTGGGGACTCACTGGGGTGTGTGTGCTGGGTTTGTGGGGCAGGCTGTGGAATTTGGGATTTTTTGGGGACTCACTGGGGTGTGTGTGCCGGGTTTGTGGGGCAGGCTGTGGAATTTGGGATTTTTTTGGGGACTCACTGGGGTGTGTGTGCCGGGTTTGTGGGGCAGGCTGTGGAATTTGGGATTTTTTGGGGGGGTTTGTATCCATAAAAAGAGAGGTCAAGGAGTGGAAATAACAAAAAAAAAGCATAAATAAATAGCATCTCTTCTGTTTGTTCGTTCTTCAGGAAAATAAAGGAGAGTTTGGAGTGCTTCCCTGTGAAACTCAACAACCTGATCCACACCCTGGCACAGATGTCAGTGGGGAGCTCTGCACAGCCCCCAGCCCCAGAGCCTGTCCCCCAGGAGTGGATGGTGCTGCACACTGAGGGCTCAATTGCAAGGGCCACCATTCTGGGATTCAGCAAAAAGCCACACCCTGTAGGTATCGGGTTCCTTGCCCTCCTTTGCCTGGATCTTTAATGACTCTCTCAAAAACTTCCACGCTCTGCCTCTTCCTTTATAGAAGATGTGCTTGTGCCACATTAAAAGCATCATGGGATGAATAGTGGTGCAAAAACACCAGCCTGATATTTGCAGGGAGCCATTAAGGAGAGCAGTTCGTTCCCAATAGTGAAAAATAAATCAAGAGCTAATTAAAGCATCCAGAAGGAAAGCATGGCACAAAATGAGGAAGCCTAATAGAAATTGGAGGCTGCTGTATGATGCTTTAATGGTGCACTATTAGTTTTCACACACTGCAGTGATCTTTCAGGGTTTGAGTTGTTTGCTACCCAGGCAAGTTTCTCTTTCTGTGCAGCAAGGACCATGAATTACAAACTGAATTCTCTGGCACTTGGCACTACATTAAAGGAAGGTTTTTCTTTGTTAAAATCACCCTATAAATTCTCTTGTGCTTCTTTTTTTTTTTTTTTTTTATTCCTCTCTGATCATTTCTCTGCTCTGCCTCTCCTTTTTCCCCAACACAGGTATATCTCATCCAGGTGGTGCAAACCTGCAGTGTGGTCACCTTCGTGGAAAAATCATTCGAGCAGTTCTCAAAACTTCACAGCAACCTCCAGAAGCAATTCCCATCTCATGGCCTGCCAGAGTAAGGCAGCTATATTCACTAATATTAGTGAATGTTATTCTGCTCTTAAGTGGTTCTCTCTTCTGTGCTCAGATAAACCTGTGAGAATATTCACAGCAGTTGTATTTTTAGAAACACAAAGGCAGAGTGACATTTTCTATCAAGCCTCCTATTCAGCCCCAGAAGAAACTGAATCACAGACCATTGTGGCAGTTTAGGTTTTATATTTTATTGTTCCTTTTTTAACGGGAGGAGAAAAGGGGAACAGCTTGGGCCTGACAAAACTATTCCTGAAATGAAAGGATAAGTGGTGTTGACTTCATTAAAGGTGCCTTTAATAGTTTCAATTTTCTTCATGATATTTATCAAAACTTGTGGCCAGTCCATAAGTTAAAGGAAAGTAGGAATGTTCACAGTGGGTCAGAACAGAAATCTCTGACTCTAGCACCATGATGAACATTTTTACAGCACAAAGCACCTACCCCCAGTGAGAAATAGAAATAATTTCATGTACTGTCCTGCCCCCAAGCCCAGCACTTTGTGCCTCACTTCATTCTGTTCAATATCTTTTGAAAAATCTGCTGTCATTAGTTGCAACAATTCTGAATATTGCTTTCTATCCTTGTGCATGTCCATTCCTGCTTTTCATTTTCTGAACGTTATTTCTCTACAGTTTCCTGGGGTAGTGAGTCCCATGGTTTATTTCTGTCTTATATAAACCAGCTTTGCCTTGTGTAACGATTGCCCTTGGCTTCAGAAATACAAATGGCATACAAATACAAATTTTTTTCTACATATATATCATATACATTATACTGCAGACACCAGTGAGTACCAAGCAGTCAAAGCTCAATCTACAAAAAAAAACCATAAAGCTGGCCTAAAATACGAGCAGCTTACTCGAACCAAGCTGAGATTCAAGTGATACACTTGAAAAAGAGAAAAGTCTTTGGATTTGGCATGAAGCAAATAGCCACAAACAACACGGTTTGAACTTAAAGTCCATGAATTTCAGATCCAAAGCTGATATTCCCTCGAGCTCATGAGAAGCACTCTATAAAAAATGGCCTAAGTTGAGTTAATTCTAGAGAATCTGTCTGCTGCCTGAGGGCGTTTTATTGACTCCAATTTGATTCATTATGGCTTTCTCACATGAGCTGGTTTGCAGCAGCTGGTGAGAATTGAAATTTCACTAAACAAATACTGAAATTGCTTGAATGGTGGCTTTGATTTGGAGATTCTTGCAGGCTAACCATTAGGTTGTAAAATGAAATATTTAACAAGTACCTGGTTATGAATTTTTCCTGTGGTGAGCAGAGCCCTTTAAAAGAAAATACATTTCTCTTCAGAAACACATAAACCTCAGAAAGCCTGTAGTGAATTTCAAAAATAGTCCCAGTCATTTTTCAGATAAATCCACCTCTAATAAAACCCTTTGCAACATTTTCACTGCTAAAGAGCACTTCAGACCTCACAGAGGGTTAATCTGCATTTTCTGAGGCTGTCTCTAGGAGCTGCAGTGCTTTAGTGCCATAATTCAGTCCCAGCAGTGTCCTGTCACTGCAGGACCCTTCCCTAAGATTGTGTTAAAACAATTTATTTGATGATGCTTTTCGATAGGAACAAGTTTTTTTTAATGTTAAAATTTTGCGTTGTGTTCTAACAGAACTTCATTAATTTGAGGTTTTTCATGTATCCCAGATTTTATTCCAATAATAAAAACCTAATTATTTCTTTATAGGAAGTTATTACTGAAACTGCCATGCCATATCAGACCATTAGTCTGCCTGTGTGTTACAAAGCTCCAACCCTGGCTGATGCCAGATGCTTCAAAGGAAGGAAAAAGCCTCATTCTACAATGTAATCACAAGATCCGTTTAAAAATGTCTGATTAAAAAATTTCAATGTTTAATATTGCTAGAATAATTGGAACTGCTAACAGAAAGGACTTGGTTTCTGCTCTGTAATGATTCCATGAAATTGTACATATTCATGTCTCATTAGGAGAAAACAATGAAATATGAGAGTGCTTCATACAAGTGCTAAATATGGGGGGCAAAAGCTCAGAGTTCTCAGAATCTGAATTTTTTTCTCTATTTACAAGTGTTCACTCAGCCCATATTTCAAAGTGAGAAACCCAGCTGCCCTGAGCAAGCCCTTGCACTTCAGCACCATCCCTTCTCATTTGGTTTCTCAGAGGGTGTCACTTGTTTTGTTTAATTATTATTATTTTGTAAAGTGCCCAAAATCTTTTCACCCAGCAAAGCACGGAGGTGACATCATTGATGCACAGAGCAATGCCCAGACAGGTGAGCAGGTGCAGGTGAGCTGTGTAGGACATTTGCACTCAGAGCAGGTTTCTATTTTTCTGACCCGTTTCAAGTAGATGCAAAGCATCAGTTTGGGAAGCTCACCAGCCCTAGCCCAGACTGGATCCATCAGGAGCACAAAGGGCTTTGAAAGAAGGGCTCGGTGCCACCACAAGGTTCCTTTTGTCCTCCCCTGCAGCAGTCCCTGTGCTGTCCATCAGCAAATTCTCTGTCCTCTGCTCGGCCACTGTGCCTTGGATGCATCTCCAGCTTTTTCCAGCCACAGCCTCTCTTTGTGTGCCACTGACTGATTCATTTGAAGCTCTTCCCAAGCAGTTCTCCTCTCCCAGCCCTCTGAGAGCCCCTTTGTGCCTCAGAGCTCTCTCAGGCTGGCTCTGTGTGCCCGGTTACCTGGGCTCTGTATGTACCTGAGCAGTTCCTGTGCCATGGACCAGGCTGCTGTCACTTCTCCCTCCTGATGGTGAGATTTTGTGAGGGAAGGGTCCCCTCTTCATCCATCCGTGAGCCCCTGGCAGAGCCCTGACCCTGCAGTGCCATGGGCAGGAATCCCCAGGATTTCCAGAGCCGTGC